GGCAATGTCCTTATCCAGCTCTGCCTCCAAGGCCTGCAATGCATTGCCCACCCATTCATTCATCAGGAACCTGAGCACAAAGCAGGCATGAGGCACTGTTGGCCTTTTGACTCCTTGAAGTCTTCAGCCAGCAAGAGATGACATTAAACTAATGTCACAATAAGCAATTGAAATTGCACAACTGGAGAATGCGAGGAAGGGATAAGGAGGCCTTTAAACTAAGTTGCATAGAGGACTGAAGCAAAGACATGAAAGGAAGGACTGGAGAAGACAGAGGCAACAGAAGCAGTATGAGCGAAGGCCCTGGCCAAAGAAGACCAAGAGGAAGGGAGGAAGCAAAGCAGGAACAGTGAAAGCTCAGCAATGAGGCAAGCACTGTGAGTGAAGGCCTGGAAGCCAGAGACTAGGACACACAGGCGTTCTGGGTTCCTGCATGGACAGTTGGGTAGAGACCCCAGACCTGCTCACGCAGATGTCCATTAGAAACAGCCTGCAGCATGGTCTGCATCAAAGCAACCTAGGTGGCCAGTCCCACACTGAAGAGCTTAGGAGTGACTCAGAGTACGAGATTCAGACTCTTCCAATGCTAAGTGCAACCATCAGCTTCCCAAGGGCCTGGTTATCCTCCTTCAAAAAAAAAAAAAAAGGAAAAAAACCCCCACAAAAATAGAGCAATACAACTGTTTTAATATGACTATCATTTTAATGTTTTATTCTGCAAAAATATATAACCAACACCAACATGTATAAACACAATGGAAGGCTATTATGCCCCACTTTCCTGATATCCCAATGGCCATCAGTATCACCTTGGAGACTCCTTTAAAATCAGAAGGCCAGTCTGCAGACTGCTCTGTGCCAAATGCTGCCTGCCACGCACAGGGAGATCCCCCCACAGCAACAAGGGTCTGTCTGTAAATGGCAGAGTCCATGTCCTGCATGTACCTGGGTGCCAATATGCTTATTAGTCTCAATTCTAAGATAAAGAACTGTCATTTGAATGAACATCCACTTAGATTTTGATACTTTCCTGGAGAACACGTAAACATTTTACATGACAGTATAAATTGTTTTCACTACAGAACAAATATGTGTAATACCTAATGCTTACATTCTGCTTTCATGGGCCTAGGGCCCAGTCTAAGCTATTGCTACATATAACTTGTTATACTCTAGGAAGCCATACAAGACAAGAATCCTTATCACAGCCCTGGGTGCTGTTATCAAACTCACTAATACAAAGGGCACAGATGGACTCTCCTGTACTCTGGGTTATTAGCTAAGCTCAGTCTTTTCTTCTTAGCTGTGATCTGCCTACTTGCATTCCTTCCTAATCTTGTAACAGGGAAGCTCATCCTTTTATTGTTAGTTTGCAAAAGCTCTTTATATACTGGCCATTAATCTCATGAAGGCCAAATAGGCTACACATTCTTTCTCTTGTCTCTGAATCTTGGTTATGGAGTCTTTCACCAGAGACTTTTTTCTTACTGTTAAACCTGCTATTATTTTCTCTTAAGGCTGTTTTAGGATAAGAACACATAAATACAGTAGTTTTTCAGTTTGTGATCCTCAAATGCATGCTTCCAATAAAAATTTCCCAGGTAACTGACTTAGTGAATACTAATCAGCTCTGGTTAAAAACGGACACAGAATACAGGCCGTTTTCTGCCACCACCTGCTCTCAGACAGCCTTGGATCTTCTCAAGAGACACAAGCAAGGAACAGGATGTAGCAACCACTGGCTAACCGGATTGGACTGTTCTGTTTTCAATTTTTGTGATGCTATGGATGGATCTCAGAGCCTTTTAATACCACACTTGGCCCAAAACCATATGCAGAAGACACAATGTAAAACGGCATGAGGACATCAGTTACTTCCCTGACCCAGATGAAACACAGAGAGCTGTGACAGCTCCAAGGACAGACACTACACTGGAAAGGTATTCCAAATTATCTTCTCAAGGTAGCTGTGCTTGTTGTCCAAACAGCACTGACCTTCCACACCAGGCTCATTCTGGCCCAGAAGCAGAGGCAAAGAAGAACTCAAGATTTGGGACTCAAGGTCATCATTCCTCTCACACACCCCTCCTATCAAAGGGTGTATAGCATCACCCATCTCTTGTAACTATGAGAGCAATAAAGGAAACATAGATGGAAAACACTAAAAGGATGGCCCATGACGCTGACTAGGTGCTCATTAAACACCAGCTCCTGATTTGTGTCATCTCCCTGATCCAGAGAGGACAGTCTGATCTGCTTGGGAACCTAGTCTGGTTATGTGGAGGGTCCCAGGGGAGGCCATTTTTAAGGCCCCTCGTCTGGCCTTCCAGGAAGTAAGGAGGCATGTCAGGGAGGCAAGGGAAGCAGCAAAGCCAAGAGCAGCTGCAGATGCCAGCCCACATTCCACCCTAAACAAAGCCCATCCTGCTCACTCACATGAGCCCAAAAGCAAACAAGCGGCCAACCGACCTCCTGACAGGCGCACAGCCATCTCACAGCCCATCTCAGCTCAGAGAGTTGTGTAGGAATGGACTAGGGGCTGTTCAAATGCAGCAGAACTTCTGATTCGGCCCCTCGATCGTCTGCCTTGAACCTCAAAGGTCAGGGTCACACTTAATGCCCAGAGTTGGCTCAACAGCAGGACACACGCTTAGACACTGGCAACTAGAACAAAGCCACTCCAAAAATCTGTTTGGGTCCCCTACACCAGAATAGAAAGGGTTATGACCAATGGGACATGGGCTCAACTCTGGCTTCACCCTCTCCCAGAGCCCTAGAGACATCCAAAACCCTGGTCTTGGGACTGAGCTCTCACCCCATCTTCCAGCAGCAGCAGGTGTCTCTCATTTCTGTATCTCCCTGGCTCCCTACATCAGGTATTAATGTATTACTTATGGCAGCTTCAGAGTTCTGAAAAACCAGCCGTTTTCAATAGAAAATGGCATGGACGAGCTCGACAGGAGTGATGAAATTTTCTTCTGCTCTGGCAATTAGGACGGCACAAAGTCGCCTTTCCTTTGGTGCCACCCCCAACATCAAAGGACTAGAATTCAAAGCCATTCATGCTGCATTGAAGCCTCACAATGAGGCTGGAAAATGGAAGTCGATTACTGGGCAAAAATATGCAGTAGTTAAAAGGAAAGAGTTATAACGAAATTAAGCTGCAGCAGCCCCACGATGTGTGGAAACTTCCAGCACTACAGCTCTTCTGGTAAACATCAAGAGGGCCATCCTCCTAACACAGGTCTGAAACCAAAGTCAAGCTGGGTGCCAGGAGCCCCATGAAGACAGAGTGCCATGTTGTCTTGCCCACCTCATGCAGCAGCAGCCCCTAGGCTTCTGAGGAGGTGCCATTTGGGGGCGTTCCATGTTGCACAGCTCTCTGATGTTGCTAACCACAGAACATTCCAGCTAGGGCTGCTTTGGTCACATCTGTCCTTGGTCCCTAGGCCTTCCAGGCTTGTTTGCAGTCCACAGTCATTTTCCTCCCCCACAAGGCTCCCATCTCCCCTGTACACAGAGAGCAGACCCCTAAAGGGGGCAGTGTTACCTCTGCCTTCTAGCAAACCCAGCCTCTTCTGGGCGATTACTGCTCTTTAGGAAGGCATTTGATCTTTAAAAGAAAAGCCAGAACACAGAAAACCATAGAAGTCTTACAGCGTGTCGGGTGTGTGTTTTTAAAGGCATGAAAATACTTCCCTCCCACACAAATGGGGAGTTCTTCTGGGGAAAGATGCCACAGATCCCGAGGAGTGGCAGATCTGGGAAAGTGGATGGGTCTTAAAAATAGACAAACTGAACCTAGACTAGAACTGCAGAAGCTACCTGGGGGGGGGGGGAATTCACTAAATCTCACATATTTTTTGATATCCAAAACTCCATTCTGATGAAACTTCTAACTGGGTGGCATTTTGCATTTCCAATTATAATGGAGTAATTGTGTTGCCATAGAGACTGCAAAATTCTGCAATAACTTTTGCTGCCTTGTAACTGCTATAGTGTATATTTGTGTACAAGCAGCTGAGTTTTCTTAATTCAACCTCCCTGCCTTTCTCCAGACACTACCCCCTCCCACCACCACCTTTCTGGCTGGATTCTGAAAGCACCACACTAGCTTTCATCAGGCGGGTCCTTAAATAATGCACGGAATTATCAGAAGCAATTAAAACTCCCGGCAACCACGATCATATCACAGAGGAAAGAGCGAAACCAGGTCAAGGTGCAAGCCGCCAGCATCCCCCTAGCCCCAAAGTGAGGCAGGGCCGGGGCTGTTTACACGTTAATACTCCCAGGCCTTAAATGCTTAGGTGGTTTGTGGGAACAGGCAGAAAAGCCTGAGCAGAGAAAAGCAGGGAGGCAAAGTGACTACACAGGCCTTTCCTCTCTCCCCGAGCAGGCAGAGGGGCTCTCAGAAAGCAATTAGGTAGGTCTCTACAGTAATGCAATTAGGATTTAGTTAAGAAAGTCATTAGTTCTAAAATAACTTAAGTTTAATTTCTGCGACGCTTTATTTGAAAATCGTGTCACAGCAGGTCAATTTACAGCATGCAATAACCAAAACACTGCTATCAGCGGCTGCAAGTTATTAACAAATGTTCGGTGTGCATTAAAGGAGAACACGGGTTCCACACCCGGCCTTTCCAACCGACTCCCGCGATGTGGGATACAGCCGTGCCTTCGGAACCCTCGCTCAGGGTGGACACCGGGTCGCCTCCCGGGCTCGCGCAGCAACTCGCCAGCCCAGCGGCGGTCCGGGCCCAGCCGCGGCCCCCACCCCGCCGCCTGCCGCCGCCGAGGGGCGTTTTCTGCAAACTCACAGGCTGACAAAGTTACATAAACGCCCCGGCCCCCGCCCCCGCGCGCCCACCTGCCCGCCCGCCGGCGCAGGCCGCTCTCCCGCCCGCCAGCCCGCGGCGCAGGGCCCCGAGGCCTCGGCGGGGCCGGGCGTCCACCTGCCGCCAGCGACCGGGCGGCGCGGACAATGACGGCCGGTGGCTTACCGCGGCGGCGGCGGGCCGCGTCTAGCCCTGCTCGGGCGCTCCGAGCCGCATCTCCTCAGCCTGCGCCGCCGCCGGCGGGCGGGCGGGCGGGCTCGGGCGGCGACGGCGACAGCAGCCGCGTTGAGGGGGCCGGGCGTGAGGCGGCGCGGCGACGGCGGCGGCGCGAGCAGGCGCGCGGGCTCGGGCTCGGGCGGCGGCGGCGGCGGCGGGGATGGTGCTCCGCGGCGGCGGCCCCACAACCTCCCCTCCTCATTCACAAAAAATTGACCCACGTTGAACCATGATGCTGCTCCCCCTCGAGCGCGGAGCCGCGCGGGGATAGGCCGCGCCCTACGCCCGTCAGGCGCTCGGGCCCCGCCCCTCCCGCCGGCGGCCCGTCAGCCATTGGCTTCAACGGCCTTGCGTCACCTCCCCCCTTAGGGCTCCGCCCCCTGCCTGGTTTCTAATGAAGAAAGCGTCAATTACGGCTCGGCCCCACCCCCCAAGCGCCCAATTGCCCTTCCATTGGCCCGTGAGTCTTAAGCCCGCCCCACAGTAGCCCAACAGCCGGCCCCACTCCGCGGGCACTACAAAGAGGCTCCGCCTCTGCCCGCCCTCTTGCAAACGTTCCAAACCCCATTGGCTCCCGAATTTGTCAATCCCTGTGAGCGGGGCGTACTGAGGATTCTCCAGGCGCCAGCGCTGGGAGCTTCACTGTGGAGAAAGTGCAGAGATCTGGGGCGGGCACTGATTGGAAGCTTTGGCCAGACCTGCTCGGCAGCCCGCGGCGCTGCCTGGGTCAATATGGTGTGCATGAGCTCCTGTCTCATGCTCCAAGGGGGCGCAGAGGGGCGCAGACTGAGGCGGGGGCCCAGCCAGGCCTGCTTGCTACCTCCATCTTGGGCAAGGCACGAGTCACGTGGGCTGCGTGCCGGGGACGCCAAGCCCAGAGGGAGTGCGCAGGCGCGGCGGGCCCCGCCCTGCCCCGCGGCGAGCGCGCCGTTTGGGGGTGCGGCTCCGGCTGGTGGGGCCTTGAGCGGCCGTGGGAACTGAGTTGTAGTGTCCGCCGCTGTTGCGGAGGTGTAGGCCCTAGGTCGCCGCCACCGCGTCGGTTTTGCTGAGATGCGGTACACAGCCGCAAGGCCGTGGCCGGCGACTTCGCTGGGCGGCTACTAAGCCTGGGCCAAGAGCCTATGATGGGCATTCACTGGTGTGAGGGTCGTGAAACGCCACGTTTCTGGCGCCCCTGGGTCCAGTTCCTTTCCTCAGGAGAGTAGTACAACTTCTCATCCTGGGTGCATGCAATTTCCAGAATCCCATGTTCACCATGAAGGAGAGAGCACCTGGTCCTCCTTACTTACATGGCTTCTGACAAGTGACCTAGGATGCTCTGGCCTATTTACTAGGCCTTGCCTTATATAGGATTGAGCAGAGATTAATTGCATTTTTGGTCCTTGACTTGGAGAAAGCTTTAGGTATGTGGATTAAAACAATTCTCAAAAAGCTTCGTTCGCTGGGAGAAATTAATACGCTAGGATAGCCCAGCTATGGAAGCCAAGGGATGAATTGTGGAACGTAAAAGAGCAAAAGAAAATGACCTCACCCTGGAATGCTAGTGCTGCCTCATATAGAAAAGCACACTTAACCAAATATACATCCAGAATAATGCCTGATCCGTAGCCAGCTAGTATTCCCATGAAACATGAAATTCAGAAGTACCAGAAAGGATTAAGATGTACAGTAATCAGACATTTTACCAGTATGGAATGGAAGACAAACCTGAAGAAAAGTTACATGAGAAAGTTTTGGAATATAATATTAGATGCAGTTCCTTTCAAAAGGTGGAGTTCGGTGGGGACTGGAGAGTATTGCTGTACTCTGTACACACAAGTGCTGTAGCCCCAAACTGAATGTAAGGGAGTTTTTTTTAGAGTTTCAGTCGCAAACTGAGGCCATAGATCAGAAATATAGACAAACCCCTAATACCAAAACACCCAAGAATTAGTAGAAGCCAACCAATTAAAAATTAACTACTTGAGACTGGAGATAGCGCACACCTACCTGACTGGCTCAAACAAGGCTCTGTATTTCCTCCCCTATGTTGGTAGAGGTCAGGGTGGGCCACATAATCTATAATTGGGCATACCTATAGTCCGAGCATCTTAGAGTTAGAAGTAGAGCCATACTGCATGGGTGTAGTCACCAGCACCTAGGTAAGAAAAAACTTCAGACATACTAACAGCAATAGTGTGAATGTTCACTGAGTAATCACATTGGGCCAAGCACATGAGATGCTTTAGAGCACATGGCAGAAAATTCCCAGTCATACCAATCAGAGAACACAGTGAATATCTAGGTGTAAGTTCCAAAGCAACTGAGAATTAGCATGATTGGAAAGAAGACCACTCAAGACACTTAACAGTCGAGAAGAAGAATGAAGGTAAAACTGCTCCCAGATAATTAACCAGCTTCAGGGTGGAAATTGATAGGACCTGTCTGTCCAAGCTGTCACTAATGAGCAGCTTTCTAAGCCAAAGCCTGTTTCTGGCCAATTGTTAGTTATTTGTAATATTACTCCTGCGGGAAGTAATGAAGGCAGCTTTTCAAATCATCGAGAAAAGATAGAATGCAAACTGCGAATAATTTGAAGAAGAAAGTGATGAATTTCTACTTCATCAAGAAGAGGGAGACCTAAGCATTTAAAAAAAGAACCCGTTAGTGGGCATATCTGGCAGACATACCATCAACAATCATGAAAGGAAATACTGATCACTTGATTTAATTAAAATTGTTAACATAATAAGCAGAGAAATGGACAAACCCCAGTTGTGAAATACCCACGAATATTACTCAGCAGTATAAAAGTAAACCACAAGCAAATGAATGTGAGTAGCTTGGTGATGAAACCAGACAGCAACAGAACACCCAGGAACCAGCCCACAACCATGGGACCAGAAGCTAGAGGAGTACTTATCTCTGATGGACAATGGTAAAGGATCGTGTGGGAAGAGCAAGGTGGATCTTTACAAATGAAGGAAGAGATACACATGGAATGTGGAATACAACCTGCATGAGGGCGGTCCCCTTTAAAATTCACTGGATTTAAGAGCTACGCCTTTCTCAGACAGGCTTTACCAGAAAACAGTATTGGAGGAAGTAGCTGCCTCACTTTTGAGGCATTGGGACAAGAAGTTTAAAATAGGGAAAGGCTTGCATCATCTTCACAGAGGCTGGTCTTCACAGGAAGGAGGCTTTCAAAGCTGAGACAAGGACAGGATTCCAAGCCAAACAAGCAGAGGCAAAGACAAGAAAACAAAAGAAGGAACGCCCAATGAACATGACAGAATGTTCTATTCCTTAATAACAGGAGAAAGGCAACACTTTATCTGTTGATAAAAGCAAACATGAAGAAGTAAACACCATTACACCGTCCCTGAGTGTCACCTGATGGAAACTTCTAGGCAATTTCTTAACTACAGGCACAGATGAAACCTTAAATTTTGTATATTTTTTCAACAAGTGATTTCAGTTCTGGAACTCTATTCTAGTCAGCGTGGCTGTCAATCAATAGCCTGCTAAAGATTCACAGAAAAAAAAAATGAAATGGTTGAGTTCCACAAGATAGCTCATTAGAAAAAGATGAATGCCATCAAGCCTGAGGGCCCGAGCTCAATCCCACAGACCACAGGGTGAAGAAGAGACCCCACTCTTGTAAATTTCCCACTGATCTCCACACATGTGCCATGGCATGCACATACATGCACAAGTGCACATGAATGATAAATAAATATAATAAAATTTAAATTATTTATATATTAGTGGGGCTTTTTTCTTGTAATTTATATTGGGGAGTTTTCATGTGTTGTTTGAGCTTCACTGAAAACCTGGCTTGGAAAGCAGAGTTGCCCTCCACTCCAGGCCTAAGCATGTTTATGCTGAGTGTCCTCTAAAAACCCCCTGTCCTAGGTCAGGCTGGTCTCTGGCTTTGTAACAGAGGGGGAAAACAGCAAGCAACTAAGGGGGTTGAAGACACTGTGTCCTTGAGCACAGCTAGAAGGTAGACTATTAACAACAAAGATTATTGGTGTTTATCCCGTAATAGGAAAAGCCTATAATGGGAACAAGAAAGCAGAAGCTCCCCCCGTGGAGAGGACCCTTATCCAGGACTCTCATTTGAGAACGCTGGTTGATTGCCTCAACTTGTACAGTCAGTTTCTACTGGACAATTTTGAGTGCCCAGTCTCATAATGTTATCTGTCTGCTGCTATTTGTCCTTTTACTTGGTAAGCCTTACCTTATGCTCCGCCAGGACTCTGATTTGGGAACTCCAACTGGCTTCCTTAACTGGGCTTCTTTTGTTATTTTCTACTAGACCTTGTAAACCTGGGATTTGATGTCACGACCTTTGTTTGCTCTCTAAAATGAGCTGCTCCAGTGGTCTCTGTTAGATGTTTGAGCATCACTAGATTTGATGATGCCCACCAAGGCCCCTCCCCAAACCTACTCCAATCAGGGATGATTCTACCAGGCTATTGATACAAACAGTCATAGCCCCACAAACCAGTTGAAGCATCTAAGGACCTCTCCTGCCACAGGTCACACAAATTTCAGCAATGGACAACTTATTCTATGAACCTAACTTTCACTGTCTCTGTCGGTTTTGAGAGAGCATGTTGGTGTCCCCAGCATAGGGCGTGGGATGAGGATAATGGAAGCCAGGTCCACAAGATATGGAAAGCAGCAGTAGGAAGGGAGTCTAGGGAGAGGAGGGGCAGGCTAGAGTTCAGAGCCCTAGAGAGAGTCCTCAGCCATCAGCTAAGCAACTGAAGGGGTGGGCTGGGGGGATGGAATTTGAGGCATTGCTTTTTGAAGAACTCAAGACAAAGAAAATGTCTTGAACCTAGTTCTCCAAAGCAGAGACTACACAAGGGTCATACATGGTGTGAATGATGAGTTAGTAACAGAGCTGGGGAACAGAAGAAAGGCAGGAAGGCAAGCTAGTTCTGTCTGTGTTATAGTCAGCTGGCCTATGTGTGCTTGGGAAGAAAAGGGGATGTGTTCATCTACTGACTCCTCGTCCAATGACAAAGCTAGGCCCACCAGGGCTATGCCTTGCCCTTCCAGGTGGCATAAATATAAGTTCCCAGGGATCCATGTGTCCCCAAACCCCACCTTGAGCATCAGAGCAGATAAGCACAGAGGATAAGGGGAACAGAGAAGACTGGGTGCATGTGCTTCAGGGGACCTATTAAAGTGGCCCCTGTGGGT